CGGCCCCGCTTCCTTTCCCCGCGCCGCGCTCCGGGCAGGAGGCAGGAAGGGAGGCGGCGGGATGGAGCGGCTCCCGGCCGGGATGCGGTAGCGCCCCGGGACACGGTGAGTCGCGGGGGAACCCCCTCGCCCCCTCCCCAGGCTCTCCCGGGATGGGTTATCTCTGTTCTCCGGGCCCGGCTGGGACGGGCAGGGATGCACCGGCAGCCGCAGGGACTCCTCGGGGGATCCCGGGGGCGGGAGGGGTGACAGAGCCGGGGCCGCATCCCGGGATAGGGATAAGGAGCGCGGTGCTACCTCGGCAGCCGCGGCTGTGCGGACAACGGCCGGGCCGGGGCTGGAGGTCCCGCCCAGGGCGGATCGCTGCCCTGGAGAGGGAATTTCTCCTTTTTTAACCGTATTTTCTCCAGTGGGGGTTTTTTTCCCGCCTCGCGAGGCCGCGGCCGTGACATCCACGCCCGACATCCCTGTGCGCGGCATCCCCGAGGGGACAGCGGGGACAGCGCTGGGCAGAGCTGTGCCCTGCCGAGGGGGTGACACCCGTCCCGCCCCACCGAGGAGGGGGTGACACCCGTCCCGCCACTCCGCGGCCTCGGACACGGCACGTGTGGCCGTGCTGTCCCCGCGGGGACCTCCGGACACAGGTGCTCAGGCGCGGGGGGACCGTGGCTGGCAGGGCTGGCAGCGGGCACAGCGGGGTCTCTGTCCCGGGGAGGGGTCGCTGCCCCGCACGCTGTGATGGAATCTCTCCCATGGCCCAGGGCCAGACCCGCGGAAGGCTCGTCCCAGAGGATGCTCCGTGCATTTCCTGGAGCAGGATCTTCACACAGTGTCAGGGGCAGACTTCGGAGCCCCCTGGCTGGGCTTGGCCACAGGGGCTGTGCTCCCTCTCTGGGCCAACCCTGCCATCTTCCCTGCACCCAGGGCCCGGGAACTTTCCTTTGGAGGAAAGTTTCACTCTCGAGGTCTCCTCTTCTCAAAGGCCTCTGACACATTTTCTGTGTGTCTTTGTAGCACACTCACCACTTCATCCAACTTCATCCTCCAAAGGAAAGTTGGGATTTTTTCCTCCCAAGGAAATTTGGATGAAGTGGTGGGTGTGCTATAAAGACACACAGGAAATGTGTCAGAGGCCTTTAAGAAGAGGAGATGAGGGTGAAATGAGAAACAGTTGAAGGCAAAGGTCTTTGTTTTATTGGGGAAGGCTGGTGGGTTCCGGGAAGGCTCATTCTTTGCATGGCATGTGCTCTTTAATAAAGATAAGAGCCCTGTGCCACCTTGGAGGTGTAGCTAAACCCACACCTCAGGTGCTGGCTGCTGCTCTTAACACTTTGCAGGCTCCTACAAGACCAAAACACCCTGTAGAGTGGATCAGACCTTGCTCTCAGTGACCTGCAGCTTCCCCAAAACCCTCCCTTGAGCCCTGTCTCGAGTCCTGGAGAGTTTTCATTTTCTGCAGCCCTGGGCTGTCTCTGGGTCTGTGGGTGTCATTTCCTGCTTCACACCCTTCCCTGCTCTCATGACGAAGGGGGAATGGGGCACATGGAGGGGGCTGGGAGGCAGGAGGAGCAGGACCACTCTGGGTCCTGGAGGGGATGGTCTGAGACACTTTGCCCCCAGGAGAGGTGGGCAGAGAGCTGTGCTGGGCGTTCACAGGTTGGCAGCAGAGGCAGTTTGGTGCGGGCAGAGGTTGGGGACCAACAGCGCTGCCGGTCCCAGGAGTGTGTGAGCACGAGGCTGCAGAGGGTTGTGTCACAAGAGAAGAGAAGGGAGCGCTGCAAGAACCCAGGAGGAAACCGAAAACGAAAGTTCTCACGGGGTTCAAAGGGCCAAATGCAAGCTTGAAAATCATGAGTCATCTGCGTCTGGGTGCTGCACCCCTCACGGTGAGCAGGGCTGCACCAAAAAGCCTCTGTCACTTGTGCTGAGGTGTGGGTCGGTGTCAGACACAGCCCACACAGCCCACTGTCCCTCCAGACCCAGCTGTGAAAGCTCCAGAGGCAGCTGCACTCATTGGATGCACCCACACCCTCCCCAGCATCCCGTAGGGACGTGGCACTGTGGGATAACAGTGGGAATTCCCACTGTTCCAGAGAGCTGCTGCCAGGCTGCTCCCCCCGAGCAGCACCGAGCCCTGCCAGGGCAGGGGCTCAGCCACAGCCTTGCTGGGCCCACCCAGGGACTGGGATGGCAGTGGAGGAAGCACCCGAGGCTTCCTCAGTGGAGGAGGGGATGGGCACCTGCATCCCCTCCAGGCACTCCCTGAGCTCTCTGCATCATCCCAGAGCAGGGAATACTGTGATTCTATGATTCCAAGAGCAAGGAGAGAGGCAGCTCTGGAGCCTGAGTCTCTGCTGATCAGGGCAAGTGGGAGCCAGCTCTCTCCAAAGATCTGCTCTTGGTCTCGGCTGATGGTCCTCATCATTTTTTCGTCATTTTTTCATCCATCCTTGGATGGGGATGTTTGAGCTTGGGGAGGAAAAGGGAAATCCAGTCCTCCTGTCCTCAGAAGCACCTAGGAAAAAACCCCATCTCCATCGTGTGTCACCACGGCTTGGGCTCCCAAGCAGCTCTGTGATTCCAGCCCCCATCTCACCGGAGTGCAGGCTGTACTTCCCATTACTGCTGGCAGCCTCTATCTATTTTTTCTTCTGAGCAATCTTCAGTGAGCTTGACCCACGTGTTGCACTTCTTGATGTAGGTGGTTATATATCCATACCCAGCACTTTCTTTATTTAAATTTCTGGGTGTCAATGTCATGAATTTTATCTTATTCGTGAGTTCAGACCTGCTGCAAATCAGGAAACCCATTAGTTCAGCCCTGCAGAAGTCTGGCCTGGGAACATGCACTGGCATGTCAGACTGCAGGCAAGGAGCTGCTGTGATCCCTGTTAATCCTGACTGGAACTGTGTGGCCTCTCTCCTTTCTCTGCAAACCCTGGTGCTGAGGGTGAAGGAGCTGCCCCAAGCCCTGAACTGCAGGTCTGGGTTTAGGACACCCGTGACCTTCAGGGGCAGGATGGGCCATGTGTGTGGTTCTCATTGAATTTCCTCTCAGCCCCGGGTGAAGCCCTGCAGGTGCACTGTGCTCTGGGCTCAGGAAGTGTGGTGCTGCATCATTTCAGGGCAGAAAGAGCTGCTGCAGCCCACACCACTCACAGAGAGGGAAGGAACCTGTTTCCGGCAAAAGCGGGAGGAAGCGTGGTGGGGAGTTGTCTTTTTTTGGCAAATGACATCAGTGATAAAGGGTCTCAAAGAGGAGAAATCCAGTGCAGTCAAAGGACTAAGCAGAATTCTTTCGTAGGTAGAGTGAGGAATGAGTGTGCCAGGCAGGGAGGAGCCAGGGCTCTGGCAGAGACAACGGCAGCGTTCCCGCTCCTCCGAGCGCTTCCCCAGGCTGTGAGGGGCCGAGGGGCCACAGGGCTCCAGGGGTCCTGCTGGCTGCTCAGGCCACTCACTGACCCCCACCATCGTGTTCCAGGTGACACTGACATTCCCAAGCATCCCCCTGCAATGGCCTCAGGGAATGATGGTGACCCACCACGGGCCCCTGGACGCCGGGGCAGCGACGGGCGCAGGTTGTCCCAGGAGCTCAACCCAGGTAAGGAGCTGCTGGGACGTTCAGGGGGCGAAAGAGTTTAAACCCTTTATTTATTTTTTTTCATTCCCTGCTGTGTTGTTTTGCTAAGATGGGATTTCCTTCCTCCAGGGCCCTTTGCAAGGCTGGGATAACAAATCTGTGATACCTTGCTGAACTGAACTGGGAGAGCACGTGCTCGGTGCTTTTGGGAGATGGCAGGCTGGACAGGGCTGGAGGCAAACTGGTCTAGTGGAAGGTGTCCCTGCCCATGGCAGGGGGTTGGAACTGGGCGAGATTTAAGGTCCCTTCTCACCCAAACCAGCCAAAGATTCTGTGCTTGGCATCGGATTAGTGTGGTGGAAGCAAGGTGGGATTGAAGGGCACGGAGAGAACAGTGTGCAGGGAGCTGCTGGACAGGACATGCTGGTACCTGGGGGGTTGTTTACTTTCCCTTCCCTGAGGGAGCAGGAGGTGCTTGGTGTTTGAATCCCAGAGGAAAGCACACCCTGGTCTTGGGCACTCGCTCTCAGGGTCTGTCCCTGAGGGTGACACTGGCTCTCCTGGGCCTGGCAGAGCTGCAGGATGAGCTGCAGCCCACCAGGAGTGGGTCAGTCTGTCCGTGTGTGAGCCCAGCCCAGCAGACTGTGCCACAGCATTTCACACTGATGGGTGTGAAAAACTAGGAATGGGGCCAAAAGGAACCCGGGAAAACCCTCAGCTCCTGTTTCATCCCCAAATGATAAAATGCTGCTGTGGAACACAGTGACCCCTTGACCTGTTGTGCAGGTGAGATGTGAACCAGCTGAGTCAGCTCTGCCAATACCAGGGGCTGGGAGCTGCCCCGAACCCTTTGGGTGCCTGACACTGCTGTTTGTGCTCTGGTATTGCCTGGTCTCCCGTCCACCTCAGAGTCCCATTTGTGCCAGATCCTGTGATTACACTGGAAGGAAAAATACCCCATCCTTCCCCATGCTGAAGTCCAGGAGGATGAAAATACCCAAACAGGAGCATTGTTTGCATGTGCTGGTTTCCTGTTGAGGAAAATGAGATGCTGAAGTGAAAACCAGTGAGAGGGTCAGGCCCTGAGCTCTGACCACGCTGGGTCACAGTCACAGTTTGCTTGCAGGCACTTAAGGGCCATCCTTGCTTCTCTCTGCCTCCCAAAACTCGGGAGGTTCCTCTGGAATTTGGAGGATTCCAGAGGAATCCTGCATGCCTCTTAGGCAGAAGCCTTGTGGGCTCCAGTGGCAGCAGGAATGTGCAGCTTTCACCAGCACGTGCTGTGGGATTGCAGGGTGGAAGGAGGCTTTTGTCACAGGGGTTGAGCCTGGATTTCATTTGGGGTTCTGTTTGCTTATCTTTGGATGCAGAAGAGATTTATCTGCTGCTCAAGGATTTGCTTTGGCATCATTGTGAGCCCTTGTCTGTTCTCCTGTCCTTGTGTTACTAAAAATAGCACCTGGGGTAATTAAACCAGGGATTTTTTGGTGCACCAATTTCCTCTTCTGTCTGGCTGTGTGTTTACCCTCCTCTCCCTGAAACTCTGAGTCAGTCGCTTTCGTTTTCTCAGGGGAGCCTTCACGGGCTCCTCTGCTTCCCAGAAGGTGACATTTGTTTGCCAGCAAATAAACCCATTTCTGCAAAACAAAAAACAACCCCCTGAAAACACAGCGACGGGGTTTGTCACTTCCCTTCCCTCTGTTTACCCAACCTGGACTCGGTGTAACCTGAGCACGACAGGCCCTGTCCTGTCCCCACACCCCTCTGGGGCACGAGATGGGACCAGCCAGAAAAACCCTCCAGGGAGGGCAGTGGTGTGTTGGGGGGACCTGGGTACAGGGTCTGTGGGGCAGCATGGCCACGACAGCTGTGTCCAATGGCCAGGTCCTCACTTCCCAGCCCCGGGACATTGCTCAGGCAGGAACATCTCAGGTTGGAAATGCAGATTCCCGTTGCTGCAGAGCTGCTTGGTCAGTCTGGATACGCTGGGATGGTGGGATGGGGTTTTAGCTGGGTTGGCTGCAGTGAGCTGCACTGCTGCACCTGCTGTCACCAGCCTGGCAGGACAATCCCCCAAAACCTCAGTCCTGCAGGATCCTCCACTCCTGACCTGCCCTCAGGCAGCACCTTGACCTGGCTTTGCACCCCAGTTGTGCCTGTGAATCTCCACCCTGAGGGTGATGCTCTGCCAAAGGAGCCGAGCTCTGACCCAGCCCCAGCACTCCTGCCCCCTTCAAACTTTTGTGCTGGAAAAGACACCGGGAAGAGCAGTGTTAGTGCTCCCTCAGGGCCAGCTCCCCGAGCCTGTGGGGTGGCTCTGCAGGGCTGACACTTGTTTGGGAGCTGCTGCCCCAGCCCACAGGGATTCTGGAGCCACCGAAACTGAGCTCTGATCCAAGACATCCCGTGACAGAGCAGGGAATTTCCCCAGAGCCATGGGACGTGTGTGATAAGGTATCGGTCACCACGGGGCCAAAACGCCTGGCCAGGGGCTCCCTGCTCCAGAGGGGCAGGTCCTGGGCACATCCCTGGGCAGGGTGGGCACAGGGACACGTGTGGGGCTGGAGGAGGTTGTTTGGGCACAGGGACACGTGTGGGGCTGGAGCCACCACAGACACATGCACATGGGGGGACAGCAGTTGTTCCTGCCACACAAGGGCACAGCCCTCAGTGACGCTGAAACCCAGGATTGTTTGCTGAGGGCTGATGGGCAGCACCAGGCTGAGCTTCGCCTCCAGTCCGAGCTGGGATCTGAGATTCCTGAATTGTTTGTGCTGAGCAATGTCCTTATCAAGAGGTGGGAGAGCTGCCAAGTGCTCCAACATCTGGTTTGTGTTGTGACAGTCCCAGGGCTGCCTCTTGCCGAAACTGGATTCCAAAGGTGGGCTGTGCCCCCAGGAGCACGACTGGCTTCAAAATTATTTTCCTGAGGCCTAATTTCTGTTGGGTCTTTTTTGGGTTTACTGCAAAAGGCTGGTGTTAATACAAATGGCACAAATTTAGGTTGAAAATGAGGGAATGGTCTCTTTCCAACTTGGGAAAGGGGGACGATGAGCTTCTCCCTTGACTTTTCTCCCTCCTGTGTCTGTAGAAGCCCGAGTGGCAGCGGAGGCAGAGGAGGTGTTTCGGAGCTATGCCTCCTACCGCTACCGGCAGGAGAGGGAGGAGAGAGGGGCGGAGGTGCCCCCGGACCCGGAGATCGAGCAAATCCAGCAGGACCTGGAGAGGTAAATCCCTGGTACCAACCCCGTGCACGTCCCTCAGCCCATCCCGAGCCAGGCTCTGCTGCAGAGCCCCCCTTCAGTCCTGCTCGGCCACACTGACCCCGTGTTCCCTCGGCAGCACCGGGACCCAGGTGGGGCAGCGCTTGGCCATCATCGGGGACGACATTTACAGGCGCTACGACGCCGAGTTCCGCACCATGCTGGACACCCTGCAGCCCACGGCGGGCAACGCCTACGAGCACTTCACCAAGATCGCCTCCAGGTAAGGCCCTGGCAGGTGGAGCCTTCTCCTGGAGCACAGCAGGGAAGGGGGGTCAGATGGGTGCGGTGCTGTTGGTCAAACCCTCTTCCCGTCTCTGGCTCTGTCCCAGCACACAGGGATGATCCCAGCACACAGGGATGGTCCCAGCACACAGGGACTGTCCCAGCACACAAAGTGTGTCCCAGCACACAGGGATGGTCCCAGCACACAGGGGCTGTCCCAGCACACAGGCTCTGTCTGTTCAAGCTTCACCCACTGTCCCTGGGCTGAGCTCCCAGTGAGCCCACCCTGACTGTTTCTGTGTTTCCTGCCTGTCTGCTCCTCCTCCTGTGCCTTGCTAGGACAGTCTTCCCCTGACAGGCACCTCAGTCCTTGCAGGAGCTGACTGGGGTCAGGCAGTCTGGGGGATGTGCCCGTGCATCTGTAGCCAAGTGAATGTCCTGGTGCCCCTTCAGGGGCACAACCAGCCCTGGGCCAAGGCAGAGCTGCTGCTGGTCCTGCTGCTGCCTGCTCCAGGCTGGGACATCCCGAGGAGTCTGGCTGCCAGAGGCACAAATGCAGCCACAGGATGTGGGGAGGGAACAGTTCTCACTGCCTTTGGTGTGGTCACAGAAGTCACGGAATCACAGAATGGTTTGGGTTGGGAGGGACCTTGAAGATCATCTCATTCCAACCCCCCTCCATGGGGAGGAATGCCACCCACTAGATCAGGCTGCTCAGGGCCACATCCAGCCTGGTCCACATGGAGCAGGGATCCCTCAGGATGGGGGATCCTCCACAGGCAGGCAGAGCTTGTGCAGGTGCTGCACACCCAGCTCACCCTCCCAAAGCTCAGCCACAGGTGAGGGAGGGACAGACCTGCAGTGCCTGAGGTACAGCTCTGACTGAGGTGGCAGCCAGGGCTGCAGTGCCCACCCCGTGTGGCTGCAGGGACACCAGGACACTGCACACTCCGTGCTTTGCCCCGGCTCGTGCAGGAGGCAGAGGCAGGAGGGTTCTCTGTGTCCCAATGGCTCCTCTGAGCACCCCTGGCTCTGCACAGCCCCCTCTCGGTGTTTGTGTCTAACTGCTTCTCTTCTGTCCTTTTCCTGCTCCCCTGCCCGGGAAGCCGCGCTGGCTGAGGCGGTAACGCACTCAGGTAAATTAACCCCTGTCCTTCTCCCTGTTCTCTGCTCCCTCCAGGGCTCTAACTCCCCTCTCCCTCCATACCTGTGCCAAGGCTCTGCAGGGAGCAGTGCAGGCACCACTAGAACAGGGCAGCAGGTTGAAACACAGGGCCTCAGTCTACTCTCTTTTTTATTTTTTATTCCCTTCTTGCTTGCTTTGCTGGAAATCAGGAAAAACACCTTCAAAAACCGGTCTAGATAAATCAGTGTCAAACCTGCCCTCAGCAGGCAAACCCTGGAGTAGACACATTTGGGAGCCTCTTCCAGCCACAAGATCACCATGTCTTTGTGGCTGGGATGAGCCTCAAGGACTGGTGCAGCATTCCCAGCCCTGCAACCACAGAATCCCAGAACTGTTTGAGTTGGAAAAGCCCTCTAAGGTCATTAAGTACAACTATTCCCCCAGCACCGCCAAGACCACCATTAAACCACATCCCCAAGTGCCACATCCATGTGGCCTTTAAATCTATCCAGGGGTGGTGACTCCACCACTGCCCTGTGCCAGGGCTGGACAACCCTTTCAGTGAAAAAACACTCCCCAGTATCCAACCTGAACCTCCCCTGCTGCAGCTCTGGGGCCGTTTCCTCCCGTCCTGCCCGTGCCGCTTGAGCTCCCGTGGGCTGGGCGGCTCCGGGTGCCGAGCTGGGGGATCTGAGCTGGGGGATCTGAGCTGAGGGATCTGAGCAGGGACTCAGCACCCCCCGGGCTCTGTTCCAGCCTCTTCGAGAGCGGCATCAACTGGGGCCGAGTGATCGCCCTGCTGAGCTTCGGGTACCGCATGGCCATGCACGTGTTCCAGCACGGCCTCACCGGCTTCCTGCGCCGCATCGCCCGCTACGTCGTGGAGTTCATGGTGCAGCACCGGATCACCCGCTGGATCGCCCAGCAGGGAGGATGGGTGAGCAGGGCAGGGGCTGCCGGGGGGAGCAGGGGGGAGCAGGGGCTGTGCCAGGGGGCTGGAAGGTCCTCAAGGGAGCAGGAGCTGTGCCAAGGGTCTGGGGGTCTCTGGGGGAACAGGGGCTGTGCCGAGGGGCTCCTGGGGGATCTCTAGGGGAGCAGGAGCTGTGTTGGGGGCTGGGGGCTCCAGGGGGAGCAGAGGCTGTGCTGGGGGTCTGGGGGGGTCTCTGGGGGCTCAGGCAGCACAGCAGCCTGGCTCCAGCAGGACTGACCCTGGTCTCTGCTCCCTGCCAGGTGGCTGTGCTGGACCTGGACAATGTTTACATGAAGTACATGCTGGTGGTGGCCCTGATCGTGGTGGGGCACTTGGTGGTACGACGCTTCTTCAGGCTCTGAGGGGGGCAGGGCTGGGGGGTCCAGCCCAAAGCTCTCTCAGTTCTCTGCTCTGTCTCCCAGGAGAGGAGGATTCGAGGAGCCCCCGAGAGAGAATGTGGTTGGACCCCCTCCCACCACAGGTCTCTGCATCCCCAGGAGACACGGAGGAAAGTTGGAGAGGGGGGGGCTCCACTTTGTTGTCTTTTTGGTGCCTCAACGAGCTGCTGAGGACGGGGCCCAACTGTGCTAGGGCATTGCTGGGACCCCCAGGTCCTCAGGAGGAGCAGAGGTGTGATGGCAATGCCTCTGTGTGTGTGTGTGTGTGTGTAGGGTCTCGTGCACCCCTGGGGCAGGTGCAGAGCCCCCCATTGCTGACAGCCCCAGCCCGGACCCTCCCTGTGTTTGAGCCCTGGCTGCTACAGTTGGTCTGTAAGCCCATGTGGGGCTGCTTCACCTCCCCTCTGCTCCTGAGCCCAGGACTTGAGCCTTCTCCAGCTTTTTAACAGACATCCCGACCCCTTTCCATAGGAACACTCCTCCTGCCCCTCCTCTGGCAGCATTTCCCTGCCCCAGCCCAGGCCTGGAGCCCTGCAGCTCCCCAGGGCTCAGGGGGTGCAGGGCTGAGGTGCAGCCTCACAGCTCCCCCGAGCTCAGGGGCTCTGTGCTGACTCCCCTGGGAAGCACCAGCAGGTTCCCAAACACTAAAAGCCTGTGGGTGCTCTCTGGTGGGGACAGGGGGGTTTTCCTGCCCACCCACCAGTTCTGCTGGGGGTCACTCAGCGGGTGCTGGCACAGGAGCAGCCCAGCTGTGACCAGTTGTCCTCCCTGGCTGTCAGTGGGGGGCACTGGGGCTGCATCCCACCCCTGGCTGCCCCAGGGCAAGGCAGTGACTTGACCTTTTTCCACTCCTGGTGATGCTTGAGTGGGATTTTTGGGGGAGGGAGGGAAGCTCCACTCTCCCATCCCCAAAGCTCCCTGACTTTTGCAGAACAGGGAGTTGAAGCTGGTTATTCCACGAGCTCAGAGGCAGGAACCTCCCTGCTGTCCCTGGCAGCTCCCTCCTCTCCCCTCGCAGCTGCCCAGGCTGAGCAGGACCAGCCTTAATTTTTTAACGCTCACCCCCCTCCTGTTCCTGCCTCTTTTTAACCAAATAGCAAACTTTTAAACCTGCTTCTGTATCAAGGTCCTTCTCAGCTCATCATTTTGCTCCTATCCCTGCAGTATCCCTTTCCCTGGTGGAATGCTCTGGTCTGTGCTTAATAGAAAGGCATTAAAATATTGACTCTGTTATTCCTCTCTCTGTTTTGGTGCTTGCCCAGCCCTGAGCAGCCCAGCCTGGCTCTCCTGGGCCCTCGGGGCTCATTTGTCCCCTTGCAAGTGCATTTCTTTGCATTTTTCCACACACAACTTCATTTCCCATCGTGCCACCCTTTCTCCCAGCCTGAGATTTCAAGTCCAAGACTCTTCTCTGCTGTGAACCAGCCTAACCAGTATGAGCTGCAGTTCCCACCCTCCTCCTCACCTCCTTTTTGGGTGCAAACACCACCAGATGGAGCCTTTTTGCCACGATGAAAATGAACAACTAATCCTTATTTCCCTTTTCTCCTAATCAGCCACTCTGCTGGCAAATCATCGTCCTCCAGGCTGGTTCTCTGCTCGGGTTGTGTCTCCAGAAGGACTTTTTGGACGTCCTTGGAAAAAAACCCCAGCACATCAGTTTTTATTCACTACTTCAGACCCACTCCCGGAACTCTAACAGACTGGGGAGAGCTTTTGCTGCTCATAATTTATTTTCATTTCCCAGATAAAGTGTTTCCCCTTGCAAACCAAATGCAGCTGTGTGGCCATCAGGCTTCAAATAAAGAATATTTTTCATATTTATGGTAGAGGATTGAGCCTTAGTGAAGTCTGGGATACCGGGACAGAGAAGGGAACTTTTAACTGGGTGCAGTGCAAAGAAAAATTTCCATTTTATGCGTTTTCTCAGGGGATTTGCAGGGAGGATTGTCTCAGGACCTCAGTGCCTCACCTCCCTCTGCTCTCACCTCTCCCAGCCTTCCCAGCACTGGTTAACTAGTGGAAAAAAGCTTGAACTGGGGCTGTGGGACTGGTGTGTGGTGCTGTGTCCTGTCACAGCCCCAGGTGCCCCGTGGCTCCTGGTGCCTCTCTGCCAAAGGAAGAGTCTCATTTACTGAGCCTTTTTAAATCTCACCATCTTCCAACTCCTTCCCTCTGGGTGGAGGAATCTGCCCGAGCTGCTGCTCAGAACCTCCTCTCCCTGCAGCCCTTCCTCACCCCGGGAGATTTTCCCTGTGTTTGAACCCACACTGTCCCTGTCAGCTCTGGTTCCTCCTCCCTTGTTCCAGTGTCCCCACAGCTCCTTCCCAGCCCTGCAGGAGGGGACAGGGTGTGTGACAGTAAAGGACACTTGGCACTGGCTCTGGAGGGGAGGGACAGGTCCATACACCTTCTTTTCCCGAGGGGAGAGGAGAGGCAGACAGGTTCTCCCAGCAGCAGCAGGGAGGTGGGGAAGGAGCTCTCTGCAGGTCACCTTTGAAGGGCAGCAAAGGGGCTGTGTGGGACACAGTGGGCTGCTTTTATCTGAAAAACAAAACATTTCTCTCACCAATACTCTGTGTTTTAAATTATGTAATGTATATATGTCAAAATAAAAATGGTACCTTGAGTGCAAACTCATCTCCTGGCCGTGTGTGGGGTTTTCTTCCAGAGGCTTCCAGGAGCTGTGCTCTGGCTCTGGGGGGCTCTTGGGGGACGATGCTTTGGCAGCTCTGCCTGGGCTGGGGCAGCTGGGCCTGTGTCCCTGGTCCCTGAGCCCCCCCCAGACACTGCCCAGCTCTGCCCACTCACCCCAACTTGCCCTCAGTGCTGCTGCCTCCCCCCTGCAGCCCCACGGCCCCTTTGGGGCTGGGGAACCTCCCAGTGCAGCCCAGAGTGTGCTGACTGGCTGTGGTGGGAGGCACCAGGGCAGGGCAGGGCTGTGTCCATCCCTCCTGTGTCCATCCCTCCTGTGTCCATCCCTCCTGGCTGCTGAACGTGGAGGATCCTTCCAGAGCTTTCCCCTCCCTCCCTCCCTCC